CCAAATGAAGTGAAATAATTAAATAAACCAATGTACAAATCAATCACACAAATTGTAACAATGTCATGAATCATTTAACCAATTTTACATTCCTCAAATTCATTGTCTCATGCGTTTTTCTTTGTTATCATTATTTAAGTCCACATCCTTTCCTTTTTTATGGCAACAAAGCACACTCATAAGCTAAATTTCTTTGTCTAAGAACCAATCTTAATTGCAATGCTTAATGTTGCAAACAGAGCCTTTTGTTGCAAGCGGATTTTGACAGTTTTTTTTTTATCCAGGAGAAAATCTGATGTAATGTTTGTTATAACCACTCCCATCAAATACGCTCTTTGTATTAATTAAAATTGTATATATACTCAAGGCCATAACCAGATCATTTCCTTTTCAAACATCCAACCAAGGACTGCACCGTATTTTGTATCCTCTACTCTCCTTAACAAATATTTTTCCTACTATCCTCTGCGTTATTACAACCTATTATCCTCTGCGAATTAATAACTTCCTCCTGAACCGAACGAAGAATATCTTCTCAGAATATTTGTGTGCCTAAGAACAAACCCTTCCAAATCAAATCCGATAAACCAGAAACCCTTATTTAAATTCTTCCTACAGCAAATGAAGCGAAATATTGAATAAAATCTCGATGTCAGCATACGAGATCTGAATACACACAAATACCTTGAGGAAGAGATACCAGACTTGAAATTCGTTGCTATAATTCGCGAACCAGATTTGAAAAATGCATTAGGTCGATTACGTTCGTAAATTAGTGTGTTACACTGCAAAATGAACATGCCAAGACGTCGAATGATTTAGAAATTCTACAATGAGAATATAATCTGTTAAACAGCACAAATATAAATCAAAAATCTGAACCTGAAAGCCTCAGAAATAAAATCCAACAGTATAAATGTAACGATCAAGGGGCGAAAGAATGCACTTGATCATCTTGAAGCAGAACGAGAATGACTGCAAAATATTTATTGTGATAAGATTTTGTTTAGTCCAATTAAGAGATTAAAGTGCAAACGAAAAGAAACACGTTACCAAACTACTGGAGAAAATCTGACCGATATGAAGAAACGTGCATTAGAAGCAAAAGGATGATGAAAACAGATGAAAAATGAAAACAAAAAGAAAAATAGTGGCAACGGATTTTGAAGAACGTGGAGACAAAGCGAACGACATCTTAATGAGCAACTGAAGAATATACAGAATGACCTGGACATTGCACAAGTCGATCTGTACACAAGTCGACTCCGTGTGAACACAAAAACAATGGGATGTTAATCATTTCCAGCTCGGAAGTACCTTTCGAGATAAGGAAGGCAGCAACTTATTTTATGGCACATCAAAGAAAAATTATCAATTGCTCCGTGCAATTGTAAAAAATCCAATTCAGAAATTGTTGGATTCAAAGGAGGAAAAGTAAGTAGATTTGAAATCGGAAGAATCAATGTGGTGATTGGGAATACAGGCTTAGAAGCAGAAAATGATCAACTCAATGTCTAACAAACATAACACGGGATTTCTCTGGAAAAAAAAAAACGAATCAACGGAGAGAAAAATAAGCACAGCAATTGAAATTTGATAGAGCTGCAGGATTAATATAAGAATTTACGATACATTGGAAATTAACCACTACTGGTGTAAGTATTTTGACAGTCTCAATTAAATATCCTACACCAATGTATATGTAAATGAATGTTTACTGTTAAGGTGAAAATTGATTTAGTGCCATTCAATTTTTGTCTATTATATATTAAAACTTCGTGTCGTATTAACCGTGACAAAGACGAAGGGTTCTTTCTGCCTCTTTAATTGATAGTACCACAAGCCTTACGCGATAACAATATGAGAGGGAAGCCCAATGACGCCCGATATCGTCTATCCAACCGATCTCGTTGAAGCATATTTGTAAAATGATTTCAGTCTTCAGGACCCACCGCATTCTCAAGTAGAGAGGAATCCTGCTACAATTCCGAGATTACAGGAATTAGCGTCTTTGTTAGCGCATTTGTAATGCATGTGTAATGGAGCTCTTTGTTAGAGCACATAGACACTGCGGTAGGTTACATTTCACAGTATATCCAACATACTACATGTACCCAGCGGTATCAAATTAACGACAAAGGAATTACTGATCCAGAATTATTGACTTTCTCCTCGCAATTTCAGCAATACTCCCGAGGCCAGGTGCTTATCTAAACCTTGTCCTCGGTCGGAAATCTCTAAAGGATAGAAATGTCCTATTGGTCTTACTAACTCTTCCGTTAGCTATTTTTACAACCGCTGATCGACACATACTATTTTTGCCCCTTATGGACCTGTCGACTCTTTTCATTCTCCAAGTGTTCTTGGAACGATCTCCTTTCAACAACGCCAACTCATCAATTTCAGGTTCTCGTTGAATTCAGCTGTGAAGCCCTCGATGTTTGGGTTGAACTGGTTTTCTTAAACTTCTAGATATCGTTTTCGCCATGTTCTCCAAAGGTGATCAAGTCTATTGCATGTAATTATGTACTGATGCGTCAGTTCTTTTGTTCGTAAGTTTCTCTCCCGTATATCGTTTTGTCCTTACGATAAGCTTTTTCTTCTGTCAAATATTCTCTTCATGCTGAGCCTAACTTCAAAAAATCCCCACTCCTCAACACCAGACCTATTTCTTCGTGATCAATTAAAGGTCTTTTGCTGATAATCGCTTCAAGTTCGGTGACCAAAATTATTAATTCTCCATTGTTAAAAAGCTTTGTACTTATAGCTTTCCTTAGAGTCTTTCTTTTCTTAGGATCCTTGCATAGAATCCTTTTTTCTTAGGACCCTTTTCATTTTTTAGGGTCCTTTAACTACTCCAATCATCCTTTCGTGTATGCCACTCTGCCAGAAGCGCCTGGGGTGATGATATCCCACCCCATCGTTCCACTTTCCCCTGCACTTAATTCCACAAGTACCATGGAAGCTACTATAAGATTCTTGGCATTGTCAGAAATTGTGTGTCTCAGTTGTTTTCTTCGGCTTATAAATTTTCGGGATGCTTGTACGAATTGCACAGCAGACATAGTTCCCATTACTTCAAGAATCACAGCTCGAATGGCTAGGCATGTAAGCAGAGCTATCCATCGTTTGGTATTAGCATGATTCTGCTTAATTATAACTGGTCTAAACGGGTCTAAAATAACTATTTCAAACGGTCGCATTCCTTCAACTCTAGCAAGGGAAGTCTGGTTGTTGTAAAGGTCTAATAATCAAGCTTATTTGCAATTTTCAATATGGCAATGCACATCTCTCTGGCCTGATAACTAAACTTATGTACAATGATGGGAATGTTGTGAAGATCTTTTAATTCTAATAACCATGCTTATATTCAGTGATTAACATGTTGCAACCTACGGTAAACCGGTCCATATGTAAATTCTCCCTGTCTGAGAACTTATTTTATATTCAAATTTGTAAATTATTTCCATAATATGTCCCACGTTAAAATCATCAAACCTGGCACTTAGAACGATTCTAGTTTGCATCCAGCCGCGATCAATCGATTCATCCATCGCTGCTCAGCAAAACTCACTAAATTTCCGTCCAAATGACAAGGAAGAAAATCAACCAGTGATCTCCTTATTCTCTAATGATTGTCTGATAAAATCCAAGAACAAGAAATTATCTATCAATTAATAAAATCTTTGCCTCAAATATTCGTCTGTATTAGCAAAACAAAAAACTTTGACAAGAATCTTTAGTAGAATATGCTCCAACAAAAAATAACTGTTTTATTTATGGTTTTCTTAATTAAGCAACAGCAATTTTGCGCTAAGATACTTCAGTAGAAAAGTATTCCGTGTGTAGGAAGGTTAAGTGAATATTTGGTTCACCGGAAATCCCAAATGTAAGTTCAAAGTGAATAGATATCATCGGTGCTTCAAATATCAAATTATTGTTTTTTGCTTTCGCAATAAATTTTTCAACTATTTTATTCAAAAGAAATTCAATAAAATAATTTCAAAAGCGATCCGCAAATTTTTCTATTACGCTGTCATACTTTTCCATTCTCCATGTGTTTTTTAAATTCTATAGCACGGTCTTTCAGTTTTCTACCTTTCGATGATTTTCCAGGACAATAAGAATGAATTGAAAATTAAAATTAAAAAAATCCTTTTCGAAATTGTGATTTTTTGTTAAAATTTCAATAAGATTTATCACTGGCAAATTTTTTCATTTAAACATGAAACTCTTCTTTTGAATAACAAGACCTTTTTTTTATTCTAATCTTTGCGTGCTTCACATTGTTCTCAATCAATAAAAGGAGCAATAAAGTTTCGTTTTCAAATACTGTCAACAAGTCAAATGTGTCAGTTAGAGAAAGGTCCTCAATTTAGAATTAGATTTTTGGTAGAACTATCAAATTTAATTAGTTCCACCGAATCGTTTTCCAAAATTATAATCTCCGCATTTGTTCAGAGAGATTGCACAGCATCAAAAAGATTGCATTGCTTTCGGTGGGTGGCTGAATTGTCAATCAAAATTACAGTATTTTTCGTCAGATTTACGACTATATGAACGGAACTTTGATCGTTGTAACTTAAGCCTACCGTATATTCTGTGATGCAAAATGTATGACAAAAGTCTTCGAAATCACTCTAATTTGATATATAAAATACTCAAATATGTTTATATTTCAGATAAATTAGGATAAACACTATAGTCCGATCTTATCAGCGCGATAACAGACTAATTGCATATTTGATTGCAGTAATCGGAAGCCTGACATCCGTTATCAGCAGCTATTATCGTTTAGTTATCACCGGCTAGGTTGTCAATGGTTTGTTAGCCAGCACAGTAGTTCCTTGGCACGCCTAACTTTCAGATCATGAGGCCCTAACACGGCTAAATAGATTAGCAGCCTATGTTAAACATAATGAATGATATTAACTTTAATTTCCTTCGTCTTTTTCCAGACTGGCAATGTGGCTCAAATATATTTTTGCAACAATCCTCACGTACAGTGCATGTAAGTCTGTCATATAATTACGTCAATTGCATCTCTGCTGATTTGGAAAAGATGATTAAAGCGGAAAAGCATTGCGAAACCGAATAATCCCAACCCCCCTTCCCGTTTTGTCACTATCCAAGCCAGATTAAATGATTTATCATTTAGCAAGCTTAAAGACATTATGTTCATGAATGTATATGTTTCGAGTATATGTTTCCATACGACGAAAAAATAATGCTGAATGAACGGCAAATTACAACAAGAAAACGGAATCTCAATAGCACCTCATGCTAAATATTCCAGGTCCTTCACGGACATTTTCTGAATTTCCATCATCCCCCGTTCTCGAAAAAACTACACGTATGGCCATACAAAGGGACATCACATCAACACGTATGACCATTCCAAGGGACATCACAACACATACGGCCGTACCAAGGGACATCACAACACCACCTACGGCCATAAAAAGGGACATCACAAGAACACCTATGGCCATACCAAGAGACATCACAGCAAATCCTAGCACAGAAACAGAATCAGAACGGTACCCTCATCATAAGCATTCCAGTCCTTCAGCTGGATTTCCATCAGCTTTCGACCTAGAACTCCCGACCTTGGCAATATATTCCTAAATTCACTGATTTCAGTGTTAAAAAATTGGAAAGTATGAAGTCTCTGACTTGATACTAATGGAAATCTAATCTAAGTCAGTACAAAACAATAATTTTAATAAAATGTTTCTTCTTTTTCCGTTTCTATGCGACGAATAGAATCACTTATTTGATGTCTTTTTCTGCCATTTTTCTTGGAGTTACTTGGCCAATAAGGTTTCGGCATAAAGTCTCATAAAGTTTCGCTTACCGTTGAAATGTCGCCAGAAATTTTACAGTCTAAATCAGACAAGAACTTTTTAAATTGTTTATGGCAATTGTGTGCTTCGGAATCCAATGCGATCACTGGAGGATTCAGTTTCCGTGAAAGAATGTTGATGTGTCGTTTGTAGCATCATCACGGATGAATCTTTTGTGATTCAAACTATCCTAGCTAGTATTCTCGGTGATTTCCTTGTAGGATTTTAAATCTTTCTTTCCGGTGTGGTGGTTTTAACCCTTCTCTCAACAAATTATTGGGCGGTAAACACTTTCAAATTATGACACATTCGTGTTTGATTTGCAGTGTTACTATCTGAATGATGAAGAGAAGAATCAAGAAGAATATCATAGCCAAATCTCTCATATAATATGGAAGTTATTTT